TATACCTGTGTGCAGCAGTTAGATAAGGGTCAAGGCTCGATGCACGTAAATCACCCAAGAATGGGTGAAGCACAGATTTTCAGCCGTCACCCAGTCCAGAGTGAGCGGGGCAGATTATTGTCAATGTTATATTAATAAGAAGGATTCAAAAATGTCCAAAATGAAAGATAGAAATATTATTAATGTAATATAAGATAAATTATGATAAATTAGATAATACAAAGGTCAAGTTAGTAATAAATTAATATTAAATAGATTTAAATATATACATGAGATTATAATACGATGGAATAAATTTAGAATGTCAATTGTGTCATTGTCAAAAATATTAATTAAAAATAAAGATTATAATGTTAGCTTTCAGGAAAAATCTATCTTTCAGTCACCTCACTAAATATATATTCTGAAGATCGAGTAAATAGGTTTTTATTTTTTTTTTTATATATTTATTTAAATGAGGTTTGTCAACGGGGGTGGCAGATCATTCCAGCACTTGGTTGCCTGAAATCGAAAACTACCTCTGAAAACCACCGCAAGTATGGGTCGAATAGATCTAATACCGTGCTACGATGTGGAAAATAATAATTTGTCGTACAGGTATTTGGGTCGGCGATATTTGATGACTTTATACACAAGACATGCCAGGTGTAATTGCCTACGGGATTCCATACGAAGAATGGCAGCCTTGTCTAAAAATGGTGAAATATGAGTACGTGGAGGCACGTGGAAACAAAATCTACAACAGGCATTTTGAACTCGTTGAATCAGTTGACGAGTCCTGGAAAGTAGACGAGGGCCAATCACTACATCAGCGTAGTTGAACCTCGAGAGAATTATTGATTCACAAAGTGTTACACGAGCCCTCTCGCTGAGGAAGTTGCGAACCCTGTAGAGTACCCTTAACCGGTACATGCAACTCTTGACCACACTTAAAACGTGGGCTTCAAAGCGCAGTTGGGAATCAAAGAGCACCCCGAGGTGCCGCGCTTCCTGGATCATTTGTACACTTTAGTTTCCAAGAGACACAGAAGGACCGGAGCGGATGATTCCAGTAACCTGTGAGTCAGACCCGACCACCATGAATTTAAACTTTGAGGGGTTTAGAAGGAGCCCATTGTCATCTGACCATTTTGCAATCCTCTGTAAGTCCTCGTTTAACTTCAAAATAGCCTCCCGGGTCGAGTTTGGATGTGTATATATATACAATTGCACGTCGTCTGCGTAGCAATGATAGTTGCAGTACTTGATCACTTCAACCATATCCGCTATATAGATTATAAATAGCTAAGGTCCAAGAATTGAGCCTTGAGGAACACCTCTCTTAATTTCCCTAGGGTTTGATATCCGTGAAAACCAGCTGCCAGGAAGTCCGTCGAGTTTAACTGATTGGTAACGCTGAAATAGGTAGCTTCCGAACCATTTCACCGAAAGGCTATCCAAACCATAGTACTCAAGCTTGGCCAAGAGAAGATCCAGATTGATACTATCAAAGGCACGAGAGTAATCGAGCAACGTGAGAACGGTGCCAAGACCAGCATCCTGTTGAGACAGGATATTATCAACCACGTCAATCAAAGCGGAAGACGTACCATGATTCCTACGAAAACTCGACTGCAATGCAGGAAGAATTCCATTCCTTTCGAGAAATTTGTATAACTGAGAGTACACCGCTTTTCAAAATGTTTAAAAATGAATTTGTAATAGGGAAAGTTAGACATCATTTTAAACAGGGTTTATATTCTTAAACACAGTTTAGATAAACACATGGTAAAACACTATTTAACTTCTCTTTTGTAATAACACTGTATGAGTTTTTGAATCGTGAAACGTAAAAAGCTTAAGTTACCAATGAGGAAGTATTTAAAAAAAACATTAGTTTCCGTAATTAAACTAGATGTCGCTACGGTACTATCTTGATTTCTCCATGACATTCTTTCATGTAAAGTAAATTAGTTTTCAAAACTCAGTAAACAACTCATATTCTATTTGTACTGTTAATGTTAGTTAAAAAGAACAGAAATGACTATCTTTGTTCCATTCGTTTCCTACAAAAACCAACTTTTGCTAGAGTCGCCATCTAGTGGAGGTGCTTTTTTGGTGCTTTTTCTTTGTATTTTTAAATACATCCTCATTGAGAGTGATCAGTTGAGATTTTTCAATTCAAAAAGTGTACATGTTATGTAAAATTGGGTTTATTATCTGAAGATGTTGAAATAAAATAAAAGTGTTATATCATTTCACTTGTGAAAAGTAAAAAAAAAACTTAAGCATAATCGGTAGAGATTATTTATTAGATCAATTTTACATTCACAATGCTATACTGGAAAATATAATTAATGAAAAATGCTTAAGAACTCCACTTGTGAAATGTGAAAGTGGATTTTTTAAGCATTTCAGATTTTGTTCTCGGAAACTGGCTGGCCGTTAGCCTTACTGCCCACTCTCCGATTAGGATCGCCCTAGGCGTTGCCTAGATTGCCTGCCAGCCGAGTCCACACACAGAACGCAACTGAACCAGTATTACTAATTTTAAAATAAATCACTAAGTACATATTAGACAATGTCACATAGTTCAAACTCGACGTATTATTTATGTTAACTAACTCATTTATGTCATCATAAACATCATCATGAGTTCTTTTACGTATCCGCAGCAGGGGCTAATAAGGGATATGAGTTGAAGTTGAGGAGGATAGGCCATTACCCTCCACGCTGTCCCAATTCGGATTGGAGGGTTAACGATTGCAAACGTAACGGGGACCAACGGCCTACCAATGCACGGAGTAGCTCGATATAATAATATTTGGTCACTCATCCCGTGACTGACCCTTGCAAAAGTTACTTAACAACAACGATTTATACATCAATATTAAAATAATAGTAAGATTACCTAACAGTCTGTGATTGACAAATATCTTTTATGACATGCCACGACAGAACCCTATTAAAAATTATTTATTTTTAGCGCCCCCATTTTTTCACCTACTTAAAATCCCCTATAACGACAAATTAAATTAATTATTCTGAGCTTTATTAGTGGAGATTAAACATTCATTCTAAACGAGATTTTTACTATAACTCACAAGAGTTAACTTTAGAGCTGAGCGAATATGTAGTACACAAGTCTCTAGTTTTTTTAAGCCTCTATACAACGCCCCCATTTATGCTTGCAGCGCCCACAAGGGGGCATTATCGCCTACTTTGGGAAAGGCTGATCTATTCGGTCGAATATAAAAAAGTCACAAAATTACAAACTATCGCCAGGTAATATTCCCATACTCAGTATAAAAGTAAATACTTCGGAAACGTACCACATAGTTATTTTGGAAATGTACCACATTTTCGGTTTTCACGCACGCGGCGCCGTGGCTTAGTTGGTTAAAGCGCCTGTCTAGTAAACAGGAGATCGCGAGTTCGAATCTCGCCGGGGCCTTAAATACTTTTTGTTTATTACAAGTTTCTGTCCCGTATGTTGTTTACTTATGCCACTGAAAAACTATATTATTTATAATTATTATTAATAACTAGCTTTCTGCCAGCGGCTTCGCTCGCGTTCTGTATTATACCTACATATAAACCTCTGAATCACTCCGTTTATTGATGAAAACTGCATTAATATCCATTGTGTAGTTTAAAAGTGTACAGACAGCGGAAAGCGTTTGTTAGATATTATGTATAGAAGTCGTCGAGGTTAAATGTTCCCGGTGAAACCGAATCTTTGTTGCAGATTACCGGGTTCCACCTAACCGCTTGCTCACCTCACTTCGGCAGACTTTACCAGTGAGCCAAGCACATCTAACCTGCCCTTTTCAAATCGGGGTGCTTGGAGAGCCCTGGTTTAAAAGGCTTGATGTATGCATTTCCGCTGCGTTATCAAAAAAGAAAAGTTCCCATTGATAATAATCATCGTCAGCCCGTCAGTAGTCAGTTTTCGACATAGGCCACATTCAATCTTGATTTTGGTCCATCATAGTTATGAAGGAAGTGTTTGTAGCCATAATCACCACGCCAGCAACGGCGGTTTGGTGATCACAGTACTGCAGCGAATCTTAACCGTTACCATCACCGTCTGCAAGTATTTCTACAGAGATACTAGCAGACTTCTACCCTCTGCCAGGGTCTATTTGATAGAGACACTGACTCGCCATATTGTAAGGTCGTCATCAGAAGTTACGGGTTTTCTTGGAGAGTTCTCTGCCACCATAAATCCTACAGCCTCCTGTTAATCTTACCGCCTACCTGCTTATTCACAACTATTTCACATACTATAGGATGTGTCACTATCCGCCATCTGTGACCCGAAAGATAGCGGAGGCTCGCCCCTACTTTTTAAATTGGTTTTATAGTTTCAGAGGCTATTCAATGCCTATCAAACAAGTAAACAATCAAATATTTTCTCTTTATAATATTAGTATATACGGTTTTTAAGTTCAACCACAGAAAATTTCAAACTAAATTTATATAGGATTTACGTAACTCTATTCTGTAATCTTAGAAATATAATACCTACTACATAATAAGTTACTCCTCTTATTTTTGTTTAGAGAAATTCTAAAACTATTGCTTACAGGATTGCCACATTTGAATTTTTAATCTATTTTATATGTATATCGTGCAATATTTTAATTATTCACACTTTATGTCAGCTTTGCTTCTTAGACATATTCGGCTGTGTTTAACAAGAATTAAAATTCATGAAATAATCCCAACTTATATTGGTAGAGTAGAAAACAATGAAACTTTCAGTGACATTTATAGAAATTTTCGTTAATTTAAATAATAATTTCTTATGTAGCAAGAGTTTTAGTCCCATTTTAACTTAGTTTACTCCCAGTCTTTTTAATGCCAAAAAAGGATGAAACTTATCAGCTCTTAGAACTGCTAACATTATTTACACAAATCTACTCAACAAAATCAGACCAAAACAAACCATTGCCAAATCAATGTCAATATTTATAAAGTCTCTACTAGTATTTGTAGCATCCATGATTTTTACAGTTATTGGTGGCAATCCCGTTGCACACACTAAACTTAGTTACAATCATCTCAAAACTGCATTTTTTATTCAGTAAACAATTATGAAAACAGAAGTAAACTTATAGTATGCAGGAGTTTATAGTGTATGACAGAGTATAAGATAAACCCAATTTAAAATTAGAAAATCATTAGATAGAAATAAAATTCCCAAAATAATTTTATATTAAATTATTGATTTTAAAAAGAAAACTATATTAGGTAACTAAAATAAAAAATTAATTTAAACTAAGTCAGTGTATCCTCCGATCTGATGTATTCCCCTATGTCAGCTTGATGGAAAGCGATTGTCGCAAGCGGATCAGCATGTCGACACTCAGCTGTTGTTCTTGCTGCTACACCGAAACCAATGGGAATGTCTGACATTGTGTTCACCACTACACCTTGATACTTTGGTGTGTTTTCTGTTATTCGTCCAAGTCCTGGAATTGAAAAATAAACCTTATGTAAAATACAATATAACACCGTATACATATCTATGAGGATTAAGCAGTTTGAATCAATTTTAAATGAAATTGCATACCAAGATCTATTGTGTATCAAATTGCTATCTGTTGCATTCTGCATCAACTGCGAATTACTTAAATAATTAAAATAAGACAGAAACTTCTTGGTCTTATCTTATACCCCGGGCATGTAGATGTAAAATTAAATTAATGCAATAATAGTGCACGTCATGCCCAGGGACCAATTGCTTAAAATATTGATACATTTTGATAATACCATTGATTCTTATAGAGCATGGGTGGCCATCCAGTCGATCACGACTATTAGTCCAGTCGATCATGGCAATTCAAAAAGTATAAATAAAATCGAAATACTACATAATTGTGTACGAACTATGCTGTTTCATTTAAGATTTAAAGAAGTAAAGTAATTGGTAGATCGTACTGGGTGTCGTCAGTGAAAAGTCAATCTTGGGTCTAAACAAGTTGGCCACCCCTGTTATAGAGTATTAAAAAGAAAATCTACACTAGGACCTAGGAAATTAAACTTACCACTTTTGATTACATGGTGGCCATATAAGAACTGCTGTTCTGCTGAAGGCTTAACCCAAATTTTGAATGGTGCGTACGGTGCTATATAAGTCAGTGCAGTAATATGTAACCTAAATTTGTTCGTTTTTGTGAATTTTCCGAAGCAAGTACCGGCAGATATTAGGTGATCCGGTTTCACTGTTTGTGCCAATCGTAATAGACGTTCCGAAATGTAATATACTCTGTCCTTCTTCTCTCTGAAGCAGTATGTGCCATCAGGTCTGTCTATCAACAACTTTACATTCACACCAATACTGAAAATAGAAAACGAAGTGTTTTACATTTATTGATGTGTACCTTAAAAAACAAATAAAGTGATGTTGCCAAATAATCAAAGACTTACTATTTTGTCAGTTTTTCGAATAATATTTTCGTTCTCTGCTCTGAAAGAATTTTCATTTTGTATTTTTCTTACAAAACATGTACATCTGCACGTGGGAAAATAAAGTTTAATAACAGTGACATTTTGTTTCATCGATTGAATGAATGACAATAAGTGAATAGGGAAGCGCAAATAAGATTTTTTATAAAATTATCTATGATGTTAAATAAATTTTCTTTCTAACATAAGTTATTAAGTTTCGGAAATTAATAAATAATTCACTGTCTATTTGTTCCATCTTCGATATCTAGAATCCATGTCGAGTTTAGCCTTCCATTTTTCGTATTTCTGGCCAAACGACTTCCCTCTCTAACGCCGGTGACGCCTCCTAATATCGGCGTATCCACGTCCGGTCAAATAATCGACTGTATCCTTATGAATTGTGCCATGATATTTTGTCATTATTGCATCGTTTTTCGTAGCATTTGGACGTCACAAAATAATGAACTATACTTGTAATTATGAAGTTTCTTTCAAACAGTTTAATGATAGATGTGTGTGTATGCTATACAAAAATGGATAAAAAATTGTTTATAGGTTACATTCTGTACAAGAGCGTACGTATACACATACGCCTACACATCAGGTTACCACAATTCGTCAAACATTCTCAATCGATTTTGAACACTATTCAACAAGCATAAGGTTTAAAATCAACTGTTAAAAATTTTACAGTTTTGTATAGCCTTACGTAATTGTACATAAACAAGTCAAATTATTTGCAAATCGATCACGATTGAAAAACGCGCCTGTTTCATTCGTCTGTCAATACGACAGTGTGTCAAATTATATAAAACTGTCTTTTCCCACGTTATTTTTAAACTTAATACATTGAGGATAGAGTATCAATCAATCGAAAAAGTTTAAAAAATTATGATAACCAGATGACGTGCTGCTATGTGTTCATTTCTACCTGTAACTGGTTATTTTGTGATATCACGTATGAGAGAGAAAGCACGTGAAATAGAAGCTATAATAAATCAATTTATTGTATAAAAAAATAACAGGACCTAATGGGCTTGTTTTAATATAATAGACAGATTTTTAAATATCATGGTATCTTTTTGTGTATATTGCTCAATCGATGAACTACTATGGACATCTTTTTTTCATTCATTCATTCATCAAAGTTCACCACAATCTATGGTTATGCCTCTAGAGTGAGACATTACCAGTGTTACCGAACTTATAGCATTTGCCGTTTTATAGAGCAATCGAGCTCTTAAAAATCAAATAGTACGGTTTACGGCAAAGGGAGCATTACCGTACCATACGCCAAAATACACCAATTAATGTATCACACTACCACATTACTACCTATTAAACTTATGAAATATATATAAAATATTTGGTAATAGATATTTAAAAAAATTGTTCTCGAATTGTCAAATAGTCTATCATATGCATTTAGATTTTATCACGGAGCTAAGTATTCTGCCCTTGATGATAAATGTTCCTTGCATCATTAGAGATAATTCTAAAGAAGAAAAGCAAGCTATTGACGATAAATGGAGACTTCTATCTAATACAGTTCAATTTATTAACAAAGAAACAAAGTCACCTTTCAAATTTTGAAGAAAGTTATATTATTTTTGGAACCATTAGACACACTGGAGAAAGTATTAAGAAACACGAAAGAGAAATGAGTTTTGAAAACGAATTTACTTTTAAACTTGAAAGAAAACCGGAAAGGTTGTCATGGAGAAATCAAGGACATACCGTGCCGTGGCGACATCTAATTTGATTTAGGAAACTAATTTTTTTACAGAATATTTTGCGAAATATATAGTGTCCCTTAATTGAAAGCTAAATAATCAAACTAAAAAATAAATAAATAATTAAATATTCTGATATTTCATTTGTGAGAAATACGTGGACAAACTTATATAAAATAAAACTTGTAATTTGTATAATTTTGCACGCGTGTAGCTCATATAAACTAAGTTTGCATAAATATTGCGTTATTCTAATGAAATAACATACATACGGGTCAAATTGATAACCTCCTATTTTGGAAGTCATTTAAAAATACAAAATGTACGGCAATTCAAGTTGAAATATGCAATTTTCTCTCTCATTTACGGCAAATAAATATATGACCAGCGGCAACACTGAACAGTACACTTCAGTCAGTAGTGGTAAGTGATCTTAATACCGATATACACAATTTATTTGTTAAATTAGTTATGGAAACAAATATATGCCTGAGAGACGATTAAATCAATGAATTTGATGCCATTCCCTCTTTTTTCCTCTGACATATAGTCTGCTCACCAGCTTATAATATTTATCTCATTTACAAACTGATAAAAAATAAACATCTGTTTTGTTCCGACCTTGAACAAAGCAGTGCATTCATGATATACATGATGTGTGAAACACTCAACACGTCAGGTTATCCAATACTGTCAAATTTCTACGTTCAATTTTAAGCCTTGAATCAATGATAATAAAGTTTAAAATCAATCACGAAAATTTGACGTTTTATTGTAATATGATGTGGTGCTGTGTGTACATTAAGTTATCCCCCAGCCTTTCAATTAGATGTATTCTCATGATATTTTAAAGACGATAATGTGTTACTATTAACATTAGATACCTAAATAACTCTTTACATTATTTATTTACTAATGTTCTGGAAGGTACACTTGTCATTTTTTATAAAATTCCATACATCAATTTTAAAAAATATAATTTTTCGATGAAATTCATATTTGCTTCAATTATAGATATAACAGTAGCCAGTATGAACTTAAACAACCGTTGTAATTATTTAGTTAATTATAATGTAAAAGTAGTTCCCTAACACATCCATAAAAAAAACCTTTTAATTTGTCTCTGTAATTAAATTTTCACTGAAGAGGCCATGTGATGACGTCATGTCATGGGACACTCCTCTAGCTAGGCGTGTATACTAAGGCGCGTTCGAAAATTATTACAAACATGCCATTTATCAGGTCTAATTTATTTTCTGTATATAAAAAAATGTCTAGATTTTCTTGCGTAGAGCCACATAGCTAACGTTCATTCCTGCTTCCGGTTGTAGACTATTGTTCCTGCAATATAATACTTTAAGATATTTTCATTGTTTTTCAAAAAGTCTTCTTTTGGAATGGAATTTACCGCATGTGTTTACAGACAAAAAAAAAACAAAAAACTCAAAATTTCTCATCTATTCATCATTTTTTTAATAAATGACTTGGATTTATATTGCGAACTTATAAAATCCTTTAAAAGGTTATCCTGCAACTTACGATTAACAATTATTATGCGTCGAAATAGGTCATTGCCACCGTCTAGAAAGAAATATCTGTCTGCAATAAGATATTGCTCAGCTTGCCTTTCTTAAGTTCAAGGCAATAAATATTACAGCATTATCTACATTCGATAAATTAACATTTGTTACTAAAATCGAAAACCCAAAGCGGATACTATACTAGTTTGCTTCTAAGCAAGAGTGTAAAAAAACTATCTAATCGCATCAATCATCATAACAAAGGTATTAAAGATAATCATGTCATCCAAATGTCTATGCTTATAAGAATAAAGTCGCTTATTAGTAAATTACATTTTGAGAAGCTGCGGTTTGATTAATAAAACTGCAAGGTCGATTATCAAACATGCCCGCAACTTGTTGATCAAATGACTCACTCCGTTAAAACACTAACCCTATACGATGCCCGAAACACTTGTAACGTGAAACAAAATCAACGCATTTCACTACATAAAATCAAATCCTTGTTTCAGACAAATAAACATACCGTTCCCGCGCGCCGTCTTGAGCGCACGTCTATTTCGAGTGTTCTGTTCTTGTGAGGGAAAACAATGTTTAATTACTATCCGAAGAATTTTCACGCCAATGGTTGGGGTTGGCATAGAGGCGGGAGCGCGGCGTCAGCAGTTCGCGGGTTTTTGAAACACGAACAAGGCAAAGGTAGTACGGACGAGGAGCCTCTAATTGGAAATGGGAGCTTGTATCCAAAATTGCCTACTGAAGAAGATAGTATTCTAAGCACTGGGGGAAAATTGTATCCGGCCTTACCTGCCGATGAATATGAAAGTGGTGCTGTAGAAGAAGTGGTGGAAGATGTATGCGCTGCTGTTAACGTCAACGCAGTGGTAAGTGATACAAAATAACAAAACCACATTTTTTTTTTCTACTTTAAGTAAAGCTTAAAATCTATAATCCATGCAAAGCAATTTGAATAATTCCTTTAATTCTGTCAAATGTTTTTGTAGATGATTGTTAGTTAGAATGTTTGTTTTGATAACAATAAATAAATCAGATAGTTACTTTTATTAACGAAAAGTAACTGTTAAACTAGAGTGTCAATCATTTTTATGACCACTGTTTTCAATGTAAAACCCATGACTACCACGTGGAATTTCCTCTAAATTTTGTTACATAAATTAATGCTTCTTATGCGAATGCGAGAAAATTAGCAGTTTGCATATCAAAAGTGCAGTTGAACGATTTCTAAAATGAATCAACTATCCACATCGTTAATACAAATAAATTAACTATCTACCGTATGGACAGTCGCACAATGTATATTAACATTGTTTACCTTCACCTACAATAACCACCGAAATAACAAGTTGCTTATATGGCAACACTAATTTTGCGGTCCCGCCAAAAGCAGTCAAACTGGTTTATTTTATTTACATACTCATGATACGGATAACACATGATACGGATTATCTTTTTTATTTAAAAATTCTACTGATTCTACGCCCCTATATGACATATTCGAAAAATAATCATTATATTACCTACATAAAATATGGTTAATAATAACTTAAAATATTTTAACATTCATTCCTACTTCCGGTGACTCGTATTGTAAATTTCAATCTTATTTACAGAGCTTATGTTCCATTATCACTGACGGAAATATTTTTAATATACCCTTACCTTAGTCTTCTTTAAATATACCACTACTATATTTTTACTCGTAAAACCCGCAAAAAGACAATGATTGATTATATATAAATGTTAATCATATATAAGTAATGTGATATTTTGACTTTAAAATATTTTTATCTACCTTTAGTACCAAAATTAAGCTT